GGATGAGATCCGAGCTCCAGCTCTTGTCTTCCAGAACTGTAACAGCACTGGTGCTCTTAAGACACAGACACTTACTGTGTTCTTTTTCTCACCTCCTTCATCTTCAAGTTGGTCTGGGAAATAGTTTTTCAGCTGTTATTTAGGCTGTCAGAAAAGTCTGTCATCATTAGGAATTTGTGTCATTGTAACTAGTACTATGACTGGAAGTGGCATTAATGAATAATGAACATGATAATCCTATCTCCTGTGGTGTGACAGTCTTCCAGGTGAGCCTGAATTACAGCAGTGCTATTACTGAAGCATCAACCTTTGGGAAGAATGGGTTGGCAGGCCGTAATTTGTGAAGCACATCACCTCCTGTAGTGAGAAACCTAATTGGCTCAATTGTGAAAACCCATGTAGGAGCCTTGCCTGAGCTTAATTTTGATCACAGAAGAAATGCTTCTTTCCTAAGAGCAGGGGAATAAAGTGGCAATTGTGGGAGGAGGTGAGCTACAAAGAAGAGATTTTTCCAAATTAATTCACAATTGGAAGTACTTTTATGGCCTCTCACCTCACAACACAGGCAGCATTTAGTCGATAGTAGCATCTGAAATGCAACACAATGAGTTTTCTCATCTAGCTTTTCAGGCTATTAATGTACAGCCCTATTAAGGTGCCATCACAGATGCAGTTCCTGGCTGAGAATGTGCCACATGTGAAAAGTAGCTGTCTGTTTTGCATTTGTGACATAGTTTTTGTAAACATTTCTTCTTAGAGCTTCATCTTCAATGTACAGAAAAAAGTACAGCAATTTTCTTTAAGCCTCTACTAAGTTCTGAGGTTGGAGACATAGGGAAATCAAACCAGTGAAAAGCTCCATGAAGTAAACTTTATTTTTGAGAATGTACTGCCAGTCTACAACAGGCACATGTCTGTCTTTTCCAGATATGTTTGTTTGAACCTGCATGTGGCAAAGCCTTCTGAAAGGTCTCACTTCTCGGAGAAAAAGACTTTGGGTAACAGGGCTTCTCAGTTTACATTGATGAGGGTAATTGTCTGGAAAAAAGTCACAGAGAGATTTGCTGTGGAGCAGAATGCTTGGAGAAATTGAAGGCTGTGCAATGGAAAAACTATTTAGGATGAACAAAGGGAGTCTGTTAGATATAATGTAACTTATATTTGCTACCAAAGTGATTTAGAAAACATAAATCCATATATTTTATAAAGTTTCAGATCTACTCAGTCTAAATTGAGATGATGAAGCATCTTGAAAGGCGTCTGGTGGTAGAAGTGGTTTATGTTATTTGAACTGTCACACCTTTTGTCTGAAAGCAGGTAAGGGCTAACAGAGCCATGAAGGTATCTGCCAGAGCTATGACCTGGGGCCTAGTGAAACTCATAGAAATGTTTCACAGGAATATTGAAAACAGCTGGTGAAGTTCTAGCTTCTAGATTATTCTGAGGGTTGACATCATTTTCTGTGTCTGCTGCATGTCTCATTGTATCACATAGGTGACAGCATGCCAGCCAGGTCTGATTCAGCACACGGAGTGCCTGGGTACTTGCAGTATCTGAGTCAAGTGTGTGCATGGCTGCAGCTTAGTGTGGCTACATCAGTTCCATGCCCAGGGGCTGTCTCTGGCACAGTTTCTTCAGCAGGCTTACTTGCACAGGATACTGAACGAATGTGCTGTGTGTCTGCTGAAGGACAGGAAGTTATCCAATGCAGGTACATTTTTTGCAATAAAATATACACACCTCTTCTCAAAGAAGGTGGCATGCGAGGAGTTAGCAGTCCAACCTTTCACTAGTTTGGCATTTTTGAGTATTTTCATATTTCTGTGACGCGACTGAAGGTAGCTGTTCTTTATTTAATAGCATGTGCAAAAGTCCCTCATTCTAAGTGTTATTTTGTTTTCCCTTTTACTGAAACACATGTTGCCTTTGGTTTGGATTGTTAGACCCACATAGCTCAGTTTTCACTGTTTAGTAACTGATTTCACATTTCCTTTGTAAGTAATCATATTATTAAATTGTGTACGTGGACCAAGAGCAAACATGTTCCAGTAATGACAGGTGTAGAGAAGTCTGCACAGCAATATAACAGCAAAATCTAAACTGTTTCTTGAATAACTGCTAAAATAGATAGTTATGAATAATGAATGGTTATCCAGACCAGGCATATTGCTGTTAAAAATGGAGATGTAATGATGAGATGGATCAGTATTTTTTTTTAAAGTGCTGCCCTATCTATCAACAAAATTCTCTGTATATAAATGAAGTGTGCTGCTTTTCTTTCTTGACATAGATAGGCTTAGTAAACTCACACCTCCAGCAATCACCCACCACTCAGGAAAATTAGCTTTTGAATTTACAGCAACTCTCCATTTGGCTGTTTCAGCTGCATTTTTGAAAAGAAATTCAAATTATAATTTGTTTATGTGTTTATTGCATTCTCAGTAAGCAACAGAAGGCTTGAGGAAGAATATAAATCTGTTCAACTCTTTGAAAGGGTAGATAACAGCAGGACAAGGGGATATGGTTTTAAGTTGAGGGAGGGAAGATTTAAGTTGGATGTCAGGGGGAAGTTCTTTACTATGAGATTTATGAGGTGCTGGAACAGGCTGCCCAGAGAGGTTGTGGATACCCTGTCCCTGGAGATGTTCAAGATTGGATGGGGCCCTGGGCAGCCTGGTCTAGTATTAAATGTGGAGGTTGGTGGCCCTGACTGTGGCAGGGGGGTTGGAGCTTCATGATCCTTGACGTCCATTCCAACCCTGGCCATTCTGTAATTCTGTGATTCTGTGTACTTCTTTTATCTTTATGAAACATACAGAAGTCAATTGAAGTCAGAAGTACCCCAGCTGAGTTGGAAGCACATTCTGCCACTACTGCTTTGTAATAAATATTGCTTCCGTCAATAAGTGAGCTGCTTAATTCCAGAGTCTGAAGTGGTTGCTGGCAGGCATGAATAAGAACCTGGCTGACAACCTCTGACTTTCATGCAGCTCCTTGAATGGAGAAATGCTCACCATGATGGAGGAGCACAAAGTCATCCCTAGCTACTGTAGATACTACAATTTACCATGCACTTTTGTATGTGGTCTCTTATAGCTGTATGGTGAAACTGAAAGGTCAGCTTACTCTTATTAGGTGATTTAGGCTTTCTCAGTGAATAGAAAATGTTGGTATGGAGATAGTGAATATCATCAAATAAGTTACTTATGTGTGAAATGAAAAGCCACCTGGAGGTCAATTTCCAGTACATTTATCATGAATTCAGGCAGTGTGGAAATACCCAGCTAAGCCTACTAATTATTAGACTGACTGCTATGACCTGAAAAACAAGATAGGAATATCAGACAATAATGACTTAATTTGGACTTTAAACACTGCTGCTTTTTCAGTCAGGTTCTGTAGTATGTTCTTGCCTCAGAACCCATGAGTCTGCAGTGGTAATAGCTCTCTGCCAGAAGCCAGAGAGAGCCACACTCTTATTGATCTTATGAGTTTCATACCAAGACCTTTAGATGGCCAGATATAAGACATGTTCTGCCATGCTCAAGAGCCAAAGGATAGCAGAGGTTGAGAGGCGATGCAGTGGTTTCTCAGGGTTTCAGCCTTGCTAGTGTAGGATGGAGCTGGCTGCAGGCAACATGCAGCAGGTTCTCGACATCAGCCAGTGTAATCAACTTCAGGCACTTCTGCATGCCCGTTTCTTCCCCATGCCAAGGATTCAGATCACAGAGCAATACCTGTGATCACTCCATACCACCTGTGATTACAAACAATGATCTTGAGCAAACGAATAAAATGGTTTATCAGAAAGCATTCAGAAGCTGTGATATTTTTTTAGCCTTCTGCTTTTAAGTAATTCATTCTTTTTTGCTGATTTACTGAAAACTCCAACATCCAAATGTTAATATTGCTTTGACCTGTATGCTTAAAGTTATGGGCTTCTACGGTTGTAATTTCTTATTTGCCCAATATGCATTTTCCTGAGAAAATCACCAGTGGCATGTCCTCTATTGACACTGTTGAATTTATACTGTTTTTTTTGGCAATAACATATGCAAAAAAAGCCCTTTTTTTTTTTTTTTTTTTGCAAGGTCTTGTGGTATGTTACAAGGTCTAGGCATGCAAAAACAGTACTTAGCTAATTCAGATAAGAATTTTGTACATGCTCTTAACACTCAGGCTAGAGCCATGCTAAGGACATCTGTAGCTGCTAAAGTACTTTCAAGCTCTTCGCGTTGACCTGCAATGAATTGTGGACTTGAGAGCCTGAAGATTTTAATGGGAAATCACCTGTTGAGGCAATAACAGGTCACATATCTATTGGCTGTTGGTAAGGGAGTGGTCAAGTGTTAAGTCATCTAGAGTCCTGTTGGTAAAGGATTGATAACACTTCATGAACAAAGTTGGCTGGCTAATAGGGACAGTGCAGTGTTTGTGCTGTAATTGTGGCACAGGGCTAAGCTTTGCTGGGCTGGGCTGTGCCATGCTGTGCCAACACTGGAAATGAGGAATAGGCTGGGAGGCACTGCCCTTCTGGAGGTGCTAGTTCTAGGAGTCTGAGTTGCATAACAAAGCCAGCTGTGGTTTTGTTGTGGCATTGTACACTATGTTCACACACTAGGTATGGACTTCATATAATGCCTTTATCAGTGCATGTGAATTGCTGCCACTGTAGAGACTGATGTGAACAGGGACACTGCTTTTTGCTGTGCTCCTTGCAGATACTGCTGCCGTTTTATTAAATGAGTTAATTTAGAAGAAATCTGTGCTGAATCGAATAACTCTTAACAGCTGAGCTAGTTTTCTTAGTTTTAAACTTGTTTGTCAACTCAGCATTAAGAATTTCTGCTTTTTTTTTTTTTAACTCTATGATTGGCAGTCAACCACATAAATATGAAGTTACAGCAGGCAAAAAAGTCATCTAAAATATTAGAAAAAATAGTAAAATGTTCTACTTAATTATATTGAAAACATTACTCATTCTGTTTTTCTCTTCTCAGTTAGTAGCCTCCATCGTGTTTATCAGCTTTGGCGTGGTAGCAGCATTCTGTTGTGCAATAGTTGATGGAGTGTTTGCAGCGCGGCATATAGTAAGTACAGTGATTTTCTGTCATCTTTCATTTTTGATGACTTATGTCCTTTCTAGCAGGAAAACATTTTGTTTTGGCTTATGTCCAGCAGCATGTTATTTCTTGATAATTCTTTTTGTTGGAGAAATATCTTTTGGCAAAAAATCAACAGGAAAACCCATCATGCCAATGTCTAGAGATGGTGCCAACTATTTATTCATCTCTCAGAGAGGTCCAAACACTGAGGTGCTGTAAAATGATGTAATGATAGGTGTGATAAAATGCATACCTATTTGCAAATGGAAGATGCTTCAACCACCACCAGCTTCTGTTTCCTTTTGCACATAGGATTTGTGAGCATGGTCAGAATTTGGAAAGCACCAAATGGTAATGAGAACCAGAAGTCCCCTTGGAAGTCTTAGTATGAAAGTAGATTGTGGCAGCACAAAGGGAACATTCTGTTGGAGTACAGGCAGCAGAGGATGTGGCAGGCTTTTGTTGGAGATGCACCTACTCAGTTGCAAACAATCCAAACTTCATCATCTGCCTGCCATCAAAAGTTGGGTCCTTTACCCAGAGTGACTAGTATTTCCAGTATGTCTTTCAAACCCAGTCCGTCTTCTTTGTAATCACATTTTATGCTAAACAAACCCTGTAAGGTTCTGACACGACCTGTTTTTGCTTGGATATGCATGGCCATTCTACTGGATGACTCCTGGTATAACTTTGTCTCTGATCAGGACAGAAGTGTAAACCCAAAGAGCTTTTCAAGGGAGGTACTTAGAAGAAGGGAACAGATTCCTATTCAGAGTTTCTGCTGACAAAAGTTCAGTTGTTATGCCCCAGAAAACCATTTCTATTCATTCAAATATTGGCTCTAACTCCTAATTTCCCAGGAATCAGACTTATTTTTTTCCTTCTTTGATGTGGTCATTAGAAGACGTTTGGATTGTGTTTGTACAGTAAGGAAACTTCAACAACTTGGTGTTTTTTGGAAAAAAAACCTGAATCTCATGTTTCCTGAGGGGATAGGTTGTTCTCCTTCGATCACTGCTGGCTCGTAATGCCATAGGTTACCTCAGACTCTTAACAGGATAAGATAAACTCCTATTCAGCATCACTTTGCCATTTTTAGTGACTTGTTTGGGTTTACTTGTATTTCTACCAGATTTTGTGTGTTAGCTTCTTAATCTTCCCTGCCCACTAAGTAGGGTTTTCAGAAGTACATACCATTCTTAACACAAACATAACTTAACTGATAGTCAGTCCTGTATATAGGATAGCAGACGATCTACACTAAGAGCAAAGGGAAAGCCATGTTAACAGTTTTGCCTGCCACCAGCCTGAGAGCCAGAGTGGTATGGCAAGCCCTGTGTTCTCCCTGCCATATGCTGCCAGTTTGCTGACACTGCAGCTCTTATCACAGTGATGCCATTATGTGGCCACAACCACACACTGCTGAGGTTACACATGCTTTCACCTTCTTGGCAGTGAATTCTTGTGTCAGAAGCCCGTGTATCTCAAACAGAGATGAACATCAGCCCTTTTCATTTTTCTAGGCACTCTTAGTCAGTTTTCACCCTTCTAGCCTTAAGTTTCTTTCACAAGTGTCACTTAACTATTCTAGAAATAGCATTGCTTCCTAACTAAATGAAGCATCAGTATCATATTTGAATATTATCATGTCCTTCTATCAGAAGAAACAGAATATCTTTTGTAATACCTAGAGGTTGTATTCGTCTCCTCTGTATTGGAGCATCAATAGCTGCATGGCATCTCTTTCTTTTATATCATGTTCTTGATGTGTCATTGTGGACTAAAAGTGATTCAGTTCACTGTAATGCTTTCCAGGAGAGTATGGGCTAGAGTTGTGGAGCATGAAGGCACAAGGTCATCCCATTGGCCCAACAAGAAGGCATCTTACAGTCCTAGGAGTAGTTCTGCATCTGGTTAAGTCAGTGAGTGGGCAGTTATATCATCTGTGAAGGGCTGGAGACTAGAATGGGCTGCTTACCACCCAGGAATTCCTCAGTGTGCTGGATATGTACAATCCAATGACAAGGAGCTGATGGAGTCATAGCATGACATGCTTCCTAGAAATCCATTTCCAAATGTTTACATTTATTTCCAAATGTTTACATTTGATCTGTCTCTGCTGATCTCCTTCACGTTTTATAGCACGAAGAAATAACTAGTAGTACCATTTAGCTGGAAAACTAATTTGTATGTCAGTATCCTTTTCATTTCATCTTGTTCTGCTCCTCTGTCTAATAAGAAGCTTAATAGGATCCCATGAAACAACGATACATATCACCTCATTTTTCTGACTAACAGACCAGGAGAAATCTGTAAGGATGTTGGTGTAGATACCCTCACAGTCTGATCTGTGGAAAGACGAGGCTTTATCAAGAGAAGCTATGTCATGCAGGCTACAGAGTCATTGCTGCTACATTCCCTTCCCTCTGTTTTGCAGCTCCTCTTCTTCAGGAAGAGCACTTGCAACTCGTTAAGTTCTGCCACAGACTGATACCAGCAGTTTTCAGAACTGTCTTATACTATTGCTTCTTTGGCTGCTTGCCTTCGGTGTAGTTGCTGGAAAATAAAAATAAACATTTTTGAACATCTGTTCAAGGAAAGGAAAGGACAAACTGTTGGCATGCAGAGCAGGTGCCTGGGCCTATCTTAAAACCAAGAAGTATTCCTATGGAGAACATGTGCAGTGTTCACTTTTCTGTCTTCAGTATTGGGGTGCTGATACCAGGGCTCCAAGTTCCTTTTCTCCTGTGGGAAGAAGTGCTAGCTGAAGCCAGGCTTCAGACATCAACAAGTACAACATCCTCATTCACATCAATTTGGAATAAGAAATGTCTGCTGTTTATCACTTTATTTTTAACTTCATTTGAGTTACGAGGGATGCTAAAAAGACAAATAATGATACTACAGATTTTTCTCGGTGTGTGCCTGCTGTCAAATGGAGACTATTACTGTTGCATGTCTTTTTTGCTTCTTTTGTAACAGTGTGCATGGAATAAGAAAATGGTTTTTTTCCGTTTTATTTATTTTCTTTTCAAGAGGGCATAAAATTGACAAAAATTTTTCCTGGAAAGGAATGCATTTCAGAAAAGAGATGTTTAAATTATTTAAGACTCAGATGAAAACACTTTGCTTAATAGATAGATCTGGAACACAGCACTTACAAAATTAAAAAATGGAAGAAAAAGTAGCTCAATTTTTAAAGCAGTAGCTTAAAAGAGGAATGCAGATGCAATTTATTACGCAATTTCACCCCTCAGCTGCATTTTTACTCTTAAAAAAAAAAAAAGCCAGAAGCAAATGGAGAAAATCAAAATTAGAATTAATGTACAGTGATGTTATTTCAGAAAATATGGTGATCACAGGACTATATTTGATAGTATTTGCTTGAGACATTTTGTTATTCAGTGGATGAGAATAACATGCCTGTGCAACAGCTAATATGGATGACTCAGCAACTTCTTGTAACCAGGAGAACCCATCTCCTACCTCACATGCACCTTTTCTGCTGTATCCACTGCCTTCCTACAGTGACTGCAAGCCTTGACGACTGCTACATGATCCTTAAGTTTGCTGTTATCCCCTCAGGCAGATACTAAAATAGCCAACAGCAAGACATTAAGAAATTAAGGAGTGAGGAAATTGCCTCCAAGAGCTTCCTGAGGAGGTCAGGTAGATGAAGAGAAGGGTAGCAAAGCCATGGGCAAGCAAGTTGTAGAGACAAATGCTTTTTATCTTTTTTTTTTTTTTTTATACACTCAGTTGAAAATCAAGGAATATCAATATGGACATGTCTAAGTCTTATTTTTCCTGAAGCATGAGATAAAAAGAAACTCTTGTGTGCCTGAAAGCTATAGGAGAAACTTGGGACTTAGGAAGGATAAGTCCTCTCTGCTTGACTATTAAAAGCTGCTTTTTGATCTTGCTCAATGGAATTTGTAGACCACATCATAATAGATGTATTCAGGGAGATTCACTAAAAACAGCAGCAGAGATTAAGACCTCAAGATACCACCACCAAGAAAAACATCTTTTCTCTAGACACTTTGATTTTATCTTCTGAATAACAGTTTTTCACATAGTTCAGTATAGCAACAAATATCCGCCTCAGGTTTTTCTTCCTCTCAGAATCACAGAATTGTAGGGCTGGAAGGGACCTTTAGAGATCACCTAGTTCAAACCCCCTGCCAAAGCAGGCTGCCTACAGCAGACTGCAGAGGTAGGCATCCAAGTGGGTCTTGAACATCACCAGAGAAGGAGACTTCAGAACCTCTCTGCTCCCGTCACCCTCTACCATCAAGAAGTTCTTACACACATTTGTGTGGAACTTCCTATGCTTCAGTTTGTGGCCATTTCCCCTTGTCCTATCTTCATGCACCGCTGAAAAGAGTCTGGCCTCTTCCCTTTGCCTCCCACACCTTAGATATTTATAGACATTGATCAGGTCCCCTCTGAGTCTTCTTTTCTCATGGCTGAACAGACCCAGGTTGCTCAGCCTTTCCTCATAAGGGAGATGCTCCAGGCCCTTTATCATCTTTGTGGCCCTCTGCTGGACTCCTTCTGGGAGATTCCCTGTCTTTTTCGTACCCGGGAGCCCAGAACTAGACATAACACTCTAGGTGAGGCCTCACCAGGGCAGAGTAGAGGGGGAGAATCACCTCCCTTCACTTGCAGGCAGTGCTTTTTTTAAAGCACCCCAGGCTGCCATTGGCCTTCTTGGCCACAAGGGCACACTGCTGGCTCGTGACCAACCTGTCGTCCACCAGAACACCCATATCCCTCTCCGCGGAGCTCCTCTCCAGCAGGTCATCTGTACTGGTGCATGCGATTATTCCTCCCGAGATGCAAGGCTCTACACTTGCTTTTGTTAAACCTCATCAGGTTCCTCTCTGACCAACTCCAGGTTTTGCTGAATGGCAGCACAGCCTTCTGGTATGTCAGCCATTCCTCCCAGCTTCATATCATCAGCAAGTGTTTTCTCCTAAAAT